TTCAAAATTTTCAACATAAATTCAAAATTATAGTTATTTATCTTAATAACCTTCCCTAAAAATAGTTAAAATTTTTAAAATTCATTACTTTACTAATTCAAATTATTGACATTAAATTTCTGATACCATAAAATTATATTTTTTCATATGGTGGTGCAATATTTTTAAAATCCTATTTAGCAAGAGAAAATTCAATTTATAATTTAAATGCAATTACAGAAAAGCTGATGAAAAAATACTTTCCTAACACACACTTCATAACTTTCAGTCGTGCACCAGTAAAAAATAACACCACTAATTTATTAATAGTAGCTGATGACAGTATGGTAAACATGCACTTTGTTGACCTTCAAAGAACTTTTGAATGCATCGCTAAATCACTTTCATTCTTGACCCCAAAAACCAATTTGACAATTCACTGATGTTATGTAAACCTTTAGAATGAAGAGTTTGCAGATACTTTATCCATTGGAGTTTCAATCAACTAGTACACGTCTGAGTTCACTGTAAATGTAATATAATTTCGTTAGGTAAAAAGGTTTAAAGGTTAGAAAACCAGCTGCATAGATACACGAGATGTCATAACAAAGAAGAAAAGCTTTTGGGACATGGCCATTGATTCAACATAATTTTATTTTGTAATAAAGCAGTCCTAGATGAGCATTAACTGGTTTACACATCAGCATTATGGGTGCATTATGCACCCCATAATTCTGTGCAGATTAAATTTTTTTCTTGCAAAGGATGAAGTGCAGCTGGAAACAATGCAAGGCTGGCAGCAAGCAAAGTGGAAAAAAAAAAAAGGATGTGCAATTAGTAGCAGCGGTATTTAAAGAATTTTTTCTTTTGTTTAAATTTTAAACTGTTATTGGCTGAAAAATATCCGCAATACTACTCTAATGTAATATCATGATTTTAAATTGACTCACTTTAGATTCATGTAACAGTAGTTTTAAGACAAGGAAGAGAACATAGCCAAATAAAAATGAAGAATTAAAAGGGCTATTGATAAATTAAAGTTAGTAGTTATGTGTGTGTGTATATATATACACGCACATAAATTTAACCGCAAGAGAATTATTTTAATTTAATTTAACTTTACTATTTATGTTTTTTGAAACAATATATATATATATATATATATGGGTACCTAATTGGTTTCTGCACATTTAAATGAAATTTTCTGTTGCCCCCATACAGTGTCATTAATAGTTAACCTCTTCATGTTATTGTTGCATGTGTATGAGCTTCTAATAGATTGAATGCACACAGAACTGGTGATAGCTAGATAAAATTTATTTTATTAAAATTTTTTATTTACATTCTTTGAACTTTCCACAGAAATACTTGTACAGCTCTTCACACTATCATAGAGTACAATCAGTAGTTACACTTCAAACTACTAAGAACATTAAACACAATGCAAAGTGGATCTAAAAGGTGAAACTCTCACGGATATCTCAATACTGTAAAGTGGCTCTGAACTAACTACGGCTATGTCAAAACTGATGCTTTCCCCAATTTTATATAGTTTTTCCTGGGCCACTGAGAGATTTCTAGTACCTTCCACTTCTCGAAATTACTGGAAGGCATTTGAGGGCCAGATATACTTACAGCTACATATAACATCAATTACTGTTATTCAATAGCAATATATATTACAGTTATACAGAGCCAGATTTAGACTTGATAAGGCCCTAAGCTGTTTGATATATGGGGCCATTTATAAGTCTGTTATAAAATATTTTTATACTATTTATACAGTCAAAAGTCGTTAATTCGGACACCCATAATCCGGACCTCAAAGCTAAAAACTTTCTGCGCATGCGCCGCGTTGACACATGCGCATAGGCGTTTACGCGTGAGCAGAATACGTTTTCGCATGTGCGTTTTATGTATAACGAACGGTATAAGCTTAAATTATCTAATTATCGATTTCAGTTAACGTTGATGATTGCGTTGTTCCTTAATTTTCAAATTGGATCCGGCTTATTATTTTTTGCAGACTGTAAGAGCAATACTATAAAAGTAAACTTGAACTTTCGATTATGTCAAATAGAATTTACGAATCTGGAGCTCACAAAGGATTGTACAAAACGAAAGTATGTTTCGATGTCCATCAAACAAAAAGTGGAATTGCTGCAAAAAATGGATAAAGACATGAAGAATGTGACAGAGAGGTTAGTGAAAATGAAAAAATTTCGATTGACAAGTTAGTCGGTATTCTCGGCACAGCAATTAACGGGACTTGAACAGCGGAACTTTGTAACTGAACAAAAAATTATGTCTGTTTGGAATAAAAGAGAAAGTATTATCACATAAAACAAAGCAACTTAAACAACTTACATTGAAAAGAAATGTTTAATAAAGTAAACAAATAAATATTAAGCTTCTTTTTTTGTAAATTTTGATACCCTTTAGATCATAAATTGTTCTTTATTTCATAAATTACGGTTTAATATTTTTAATTTTATAATTTCTGCATGCCATCTTACGCGATTTAAACTGATGATCTATAATCCGGAAAAATCGATAATCCGGAATCGCCGAAGTCCCGACGAGTCCGGATTAACGACTTTTGACTGTACTATATTTTAATTTTTGAGGAGACTCCCAAGAAAGTTGGCACCCTAAGCTATAGCTTATATAACTTATAAGTAAATCCGGCTCTGCAGTTATAGATGGACTGGATCAAAATGTTGCCAAATGCTCGACATGTTTGGCTGTTCCTCTCCAAATTTGGCAACAAAAAATTATTCTGTAAAACCATTGCCAGAGTTTAGTGAGATAGCTATTTATTCAGTGTTAAATTGACTTGCCTCTGTGTTCTTACTTTTCTGGCAAAACTTCGCTCGCTTCTTTACATTTTCATGAGCTTCTTTAGATCAGATCTGCAGCTACGTTATACTAAAGAAAAGTACTAAATTTCACATTTGATTTCACTAAAATTATTTACATGTGTATAAAATTCGTAACATCATTATTGACAAGGCCATCTTTGACTGTATTTTTATTTTCCTTTTCCTCATTCTGTCTAAATATTTTGACAATGGTAAAATGAATAATTGTTTCATAATATAGTCATCGTTCTAAATTTTTGGAATCGTTTAAGAATTGTTTGAAAAAGTGTGTATCCATGGTACACCCACAGTCTGAAGTAGAAATTCCACTCAGAAAATCAGTAAAGTGATAAATAAAAGAATAAAAATGAAAGTAATTTTGTATTTTTATGATTAATTAATACTTTTCCGTATTTTATTATTGTCATTGCAAATTAATTTTTTATATTTTAATCTTTTATTTGCCTTTTAAGGGTACTATTTTAATGCTAACAAAAATATCTTGAAGTTCAGGAATACCTTGCGTAGTGTGGCTTCACTCAGTGCTGACCCCACTGTAGTATGGTTAGTAATCTGAATAATAAATTTCACTTAGTACTGATTGCTTCACTATTATGCAATTTGGAAAGATTTTATAATAAAATAATACAGCCAAAAGGTTCGCGCAAAATATATACTGTCAAAATAAATGGGACTGTTTAGTTATGCACTTGCGCATTGACTGAGAGATGTGCAGACTAGCAGAGAAAACTTACGCTCAGATTCTGCAATAGCCATATCACATCATCTGAGGTCCATTCTTGTGTATTGCTCTAAAGTCAGATTGAAGCCCATGCTTGTGTATCATGCTGAAAACACTCTTGCTTCAAAGGCGTGTGCTAAAATCTCATTACCTCTGTTTTTGCTGTCGTAATAAGAAAGATTGGATTGCTAATGCAGTGTCTGAAAGTTGGTTTAAGGATTAATTTTGTTCCTTCGTTAAAAGTTACCGTGAAAAAACAAGACAAAGCCTTTAAAGCATTATTATTATTAAAATGCACTAAGTTATTCTACTGGATTTGTAACTATTCCAGAATCTTTGTAACTATGCCAGAATGCATTTTCTTCCTGCCAATACTACCTCCATCCTACATCCTATGGATCAAGGGGTTATTTCAGCATTTAATACTTTTTTGTGAAGAAAGCTTTAACACACAATAAAAGCAACCTGTGATAAAAACACCCCATTTTTGCTCTTAGTTTGGAAAAATTACAGTACCTGAATTGCTGTTGAAAATATCAGACATGCATGGAATGAAGTGAGTGAAAATAATATGAGAAGCTTATGGAAATATGTTTTGCCTTATTGCACTAATGATTGGCTTAATGGCTTGGATTTTGAGATGGATGCAATCTCGGCAGAAGTCGTGAAACTCTAACATGATTTAGGCTCAAAATCGTAAAAACAACCTTGTATTTAGCGTAAGTATGATTTAGGCTTTTACTCATTAGATACTGCCAGCTTCATGGACTGAATTCAAAAGGAATCTCAGTCTCTTGGTGATGAATCTCTCATCAACACAAAAGAAAATGGGAAAACGGGGAGGGGGCTTCACATTGAATAATCTCAAAAAATAATTATATGCCATTGGAGAAACATGTGAGTTGAATGAAGAAAATGATCCAAATGCAAAATGAAGCCTTGAAACAAAGTGAAAATTAGAAAAATGCAGATCTTTGCTATTGCATGATTAATGGGAAAAAAAAAAAAAAAAAAAAAAAAAAAAAAAAAGGACTGGGACAAAAAAAAAACTTTTATTTTTCTGCTTAAAAAGTTTCTCTTTTGGATTTTGTAAACAAATTAATAAAAGTCTTCTGCTACCTGTTGTACTTTGTACCCTTTTATTATTTTTAATTATTTTAGGTAAATATGCAAATATTTTTGTTTTAACAAAATTTGATAGGAATGAATGACTAATTCTACTATAGAAATATTGTTTCACTCAGTGCAGAAACATTTAGCATAGTACTTCAGAAAACCAGTTAACTGTACTAAGTAAGGTATTCCAGTATTCCAGAGAGTCATAAAGAGTAATTTATTTAATTTCAGACTTCTGAGTTAACTTATTAAAAGATCTCTTTAAGCTCTTTTAAGAACTTTGCTAAAAATTTCATTTTCAGAATGAGGGAGAAACTGAAACTGTTCAAACTAGGTCTGTCCGTAGACGAAGATCAAGCAAATTTTCTGAAATAGAATCTAGTGTAAGTTATTTTTAACTGAATTTCTCTGTTTTTTAAAAATAATAATTCTGAATGAAAATTTAATTACACTTATTTATTTAAATATCATGAAAGTGAATATTTCATTCTAATACTATTAAAAAAATTACAATTTGGTTTGCTTCTTGTGCATACTTCATAAATAGAATTTTCTGCATTCCTATGCGTTGTATCTTCTGTGGTTAATGTACATATAGTGAACTCTTTATGTGATTGTTTTACATTATAACATATTTTCTCCCTACTTTCTGTATGCCTTTGTGGTGTAACATTCGTCCTGTATTTGAGAGGTCCAAGTTTGAGTTCCATCGAGGGCATTGCTAACTTGTCATGTGTCCTGCTTAAAAAATAACCTAGTGTTACAGTGGCACACAAACTAAAAATGTGGTGGATGATGATACTTCACTGCCAAGATTTGGCGATTGGGTCCCCTAACCTTTAAAAGGGGAGGATTATCTAAAGTATTTTCTCCCTCCTTTCTGCATGCCTTTGTGGTGTAACAGTAGCACACTCAACATGTATTCGAGAAGTCCTGGCTTGGTTATTTAAATCAATTTATGTATACATATTTCATGATAACAAAGAGGAGATTTATAAATAAATATGAGTTATGGTAGAATCTATCGCAACCTGTGGGAACGAGACTTACCGATTTCCCATAAGATAATTTTCTGGATAATCAAAAACATAGCTAGAACTTACCTGTTCCAGGTTTTGCAATGCCATATGCAATATTAACCACTTCACCATTCCCCCATATATATATATATATATATATATATGTTAATACTTTAGTCGATTATTTGGGTATTTAAGATGGGCATTGGCCTTTTGATGTTATCTGATTTATTGAAGTCTTTCAAAGCTACTGTTTGTTTTCAAATAGATGGGTCTGTGTCGGGAGAAATTATGAAGTGGTTAAACATATAATATTGAAAATCTTATAGATTATTTAAATTTAACACATATACACATGACTTCATATTTTTAGAAAATAAAATTAAGCAAAATTTTAAAATTACCATATATATTATGATATATAATTTTGAATATGTATCTGCTTACAAGATAATTGCCAGAGTTTAAAAAATTTGCTGCGTATACAGTAAAACTTCATAACATTATGTACTGACATAAATGAACATTGCTGGGCAAATCTTATGAATGCCCACAATTCAGCCAGCTTCCATGTAATTCTCCTATTCTGAGTCTTGTCTTCATCTTTCATTTTCCTCCTCCTTCTAATCTTTCTACTTTCTCAGTACAAATTCGTTTATTTCGTCATCTCTTGAGAGAGTATGAGACTTCTTTCAAAGTCCTTAAATCAGTGAATGAAAAAGAATCAGTAGTTCATCTTTATGTTCTGTATAATTCATTGGGTGGATAAGGCATGTTACATTGGGCGGTAAAAACCTAGCACAAATGTTTCCCATATTTAAATCTTCAGATTGTTAGCCTATTACATATTTTTGTCTTATACACTTAAAATTCAGATTTAAGTTTAGACCTTCAAAAGTCCCATAATATTGCTGGATAACTGAATACAGTTTACGAGAGATTTTTCTGTATTTAATTTTTTATCTTCATCTCATCATTCATGGTTGGTTTTGTTGCAAATTCTATGTTACATTGGTACATAAGGCATGAAATTATTTATATTGTTATTATAAAGAAATATGCCCTCCTAACAGTATCCTTTCTAATTTGAATCTAATATATAGTATTATTGTTATGAATTTTGTATACATGTAAACAACTTTAGGTAAATTATATGTGAAGTTGTAGTATTTTTTGTATATTGTAACATGAAAGGCTTGAAAGAGATGATGCTCTGCCAGAAAAATAATATTACTGGGGGTAAGTCTATTTTAGCATCGAGAAAAAGGGCTATCTTGCTAAATTGGCAAGATATTGCTAAGCTGGCGAAATTTGGGCAACTAATTTTTATCGCTAAATTTTTAAAAAATCGCCCAAAATCACCTATTTTGGTGATTTTTGGCAACATTTTTGTCCAGTTAATAAATTTTATCAAGGTATCATTGGCTTTGTGCACATTAAATCTATTACAAACCCATACGCATATAACATTATATTCTTAATATCTTGTTTTAGAGTGGTGAAGAATGTGAAACCACAGAACAGCCTTCATGTAGTCATAGAGGAGGACCAAGAAATGTTCATGAAGAAACATTTAAAGTAAGCTAAATTTAAGTAAAGTAAGTTAAATTGTATTTATTTGGCATTATAGGAGTGTCAATGAAGACTGGAAATTTTTCAATGAAGTTCTTATTTTCAGGAATTTATCAAGAGACTTCTGTGAAAGAGGAATATTATTTTAAAAAGTTAAAGGCATATCCTGTTGATTAGACTTTTTTTTATTTATAAAGAGACTTCTGTGAAAGAAGAATGTTATTAAAATAGATAAAGGCATATCCTGTTGATTAGACTTTTTTTTATTTATAAAGAGACTTCTGTGAAAGAAGAATGTTATTAAAATAGATAAAGGCATATCCTGTTGATTAGACTTTTCACAGTGTCAAATTTATTTTTAAATGCTAAGTTTTGGTTTAAGTAAAGCAGTCCATTCTTTATGGATATATTGTTGCAGTCTTTGTGCTACATATATTTAATTTTCTCTACAGCCAGTGCAAGAAATCTGCATTGTGTACATGTTAAATTTTTTTAGTCATAAAAAATTAAAGAGATTTAAGAGTACTTTGTTTGAACTGAGCGGAGCTATATAAATAAAGAAACTGTGTTCAATGTTTGAAGCTCCTGCTTCCTTTCTATTTTAAAACCAAATGTCATAGTTTAAAATATAAATTTCTGTAACATACTGATAATTCAGAAAATGAATGCCTTAAAAATATATTACAGTGGTAAATAATGTCTTGAGAGAAGGTGTATAATTCCTTCTGTTGAATGTTAGATCTAATTACAATGGCATATGATTACTTTTTATTTTGAAACATCCCCAGGGTTCATACTGTCTTTAAGAGTCCTTAAAAGTCCTTAGATTTTTTGGAATCGATTTTTGGTCCTTAAAAGTCCTTAATTTTGGTAAAAATCGACAGAAGGTCCTTAATTTTAATCATCTAAAATTTCTGTCTGTTTTTACGACTGTCATTTTGAGTGTGAATTAGCATTTTGAAGAATATTTTAGGCGATTCACTGCCGTATATATGGTAATCTTTTGAATGGGTTCATGAGTTGTAATTTCTTTCTATTTCTAATATAAATGATGGGATACTCGAGTTTCTTAGCAAGAAGTGAAACAAAGGCATTTCGAAATTCATTTTTTCTAGTAAAGAGCTCTTAAACAACTTTTTGCTTTTGGGGATGTGAATTCTTTTATTAAACGGTTCTAAATTTGTCGACTTTTCAACATTGTGGTGATTTTAAGATTAGTTTCTATAGAAACTTAATTCCAAAATCTGAGAATTTTTCAACGATTTTTTTTAAAACATCATAACATTGACAAATTTTATTAAAATAATGGTAGTATATTGAAATTATATTTAAAAAATAACATTAAAATAAAACATTTTTATTTTTCGCTGTCATATTATAAAGTTTCATTTTGGCAACTTATACAATATTTTAAATCTGAAAAATAAACAAGGTATAATGCTATAAAGCACAATTTGCAAAACAGCTGTTAGCAAAAGCAAAATTAGCTGTGTAATTAATTAAAAATGTCTTATTTTTAATTTTTTCATAGTAAGAGTTTTTCCCATGTAATTGTCTCAGAATATTCAAAATTCTCAGAATGTGCATCAGTTTTTTCTATAAAATTAATTTTATACTTTTTCCCTCCTACTTTTTTCCAAAATATTTCTGGCTTTTTTCTGTTACAGAAATGGTAGGTATAATTTCTCTTTAGCATTTTAGACATTGCAGCTTGGAAAGTATAGAGGGATTTGAAGGCAAGATTTATAGACCTAGATTCTAGAAGATCCGAGAAATATGTGAAAGTGAAAAATGTCACCAAGGTATCAACACGTAGTGAATGTATTTTACAGAAAGTTTGCAATGAATTTCTTAATTTTGAGAGAACATCTGGAAGAGCAATGTATTTTACAGAAAGTTTGCTATGAATTTCTTAATTTTGGGAGAACATCTGGAAGAACAATGAAAACATAATCTTTTTTTTTTTTTTCCTTTGAGAACATACAGACTCCCCGTGCACCACATATGTACAACACGGGGCTTACAGAAGTAAGTTAACTAGAACATTAAAGGTTACATGTATAAATAAACATTAAAAATTACATGCATAAATAAAGCGAACAAAAGCAGAGAACAGCAGTCTGGACTTCACCAAAACAGATAAGTTCACTGGTTAAGTCACTCCAAACATTTTCAAATCGTTCTGTAAGCATAATCTAGGGCCATCAAATGTAGGGCACGAGAAAATCAAATGTTCCACATCCTGAGGAACTCTTTTTGAACAACATTCACATAAATTGTTTGATCGTAGATTAAAACGAAACAGATAACTTGCAAATTTACCATGACCAGATAAAAACTGAGACACTTTAAAATTTAATGAGAGGAAAGACTCGGAATTCAGTCTATGGTAAATAGAAGGAAGGAACCTTTTGGTGACTTCAGCATTACAAGATGAAATGCATTCCTCATTCCACATAGCTAAAAGCTTTTTATAATGAAAGGATTTCCAATAACTCTTTGGAATGCTAATGTTGATATCAATGGGTAAATTTAAGGCATCTTTAGCTAAGAAATCAGCTCTTTCATTTCCGTAGAAACCATGATGAGCATGCACATAAGCAAAGCAGATATCAATACCTCTAATTCTAAGTGAACTAACAGTTACTAGGGTTTCGATAACTAATTTATCGCAGCTGGTAATACTGCTCAAAAGTTGAAGAGAAGAAAGAGAATCAGAACAAATAAGGTACTTTGAGGATGTTGTCCCATGATCCTGAATCCATTTGACAGCAAGATAAATGCACAGAAGTTCTGCTTGAAAAACTGTACATTCATTCCGTATACGGTGTCTAAGAAAACAAATCTCGGAATGGCCTTCAAAAAGAACAAATGCAAGGCCAACCTTGTTGTTCATCTTGCTGCCATCTGTAAAGAAAACCCTATGAAAACTTATTTCAGCAGTCTCTTTATAATCACAGAAATTTATAGGTTCTAAAGAAGCGGGATGAGGAAGATCAGTGAAGGGGACAATTCCATTAATACAGTCTTCCGAAGCATGAGTTGCCAATGACTCATAAATATTATTCTTATGTGCAATTTCAAAATCAATAGGCGGAACTTCTGCAAGAACAAAAGTAGCCTCATAGCTTAAGGTTCTATAACCACTAATAATACAAAGAAGAATTCTCCTTTGAATCTTTCTTAAATTTCTTTTGTTAACCTTCTTGGTAAGAACATGTCCCCAAGCACAACAGCCGTATGAAATGAAAGGTAGTATTACTTCTGATACTAGAATCTTAACATGTTAATCTTCTCTTTATTTTCTCTACTTTTCATTAGACAGAAGCATGGAAAATATCAAATATGCTTCTGATCTTATCACATGGGCAGGCATTATAGAAAGGGATTTTTTTATTAATAAAGAAATTGAAAACTTACAATTTAAAAGATTCATTTAATGTATTTCTTAATGCATGATACACCTAGCTGGCAATAGGCATTTTCCCACCTGATGCAATCTCTGTGGATCCTAAATTCTGCTGCCTACTGCCTTTCAAAATTCTGCTTCCATTGCTTACTTTAAATTCTAAAAGTTTTGCCATTTCTAGATTATGTTGTTTGGTGTGTTACTAATAGAAATTCTGCCACATCAGCTCTGTAACCGTCTTTTACTATATATATTTCATATTGCTTCTGAATGTTCATATTACTAAAGAAATAAAATTAGCCGCTTTTTCTGTACTTTCTAAATGCATTTAGTGTTTTTAGAGTAACGGAAATCCTTAATTAAATCCAAAAATTCTAAAATGAAAATGAAACTTGTTGAAGAAAGAAACTGAGTACATAAAGGAAATTATTCTTCAAAGATATGTGCAGTATTATTATGTAAATTACTCAATTGTTTGATTTCAACCTTTACTATAATTTCCAATTTCCATTTCCTCATATGATAGAGTTGTTGAGCCAGATTAAATTACAGTTAAATTGTATAATCTTTGACCGTTAGTCCACATTATTAGTTTGAATTTGGCTGTTCTTGTTTAATTATGTCACCGTGAGCTGTAATTGATTTTGTTAGCATCAGAACATGCCTTTATGTTTTAAGTTCTTTTTAAATAAGAGGCTTATTTAAACCTTAGTCTGATATTGTAGTTAATTTTAGACATAGTGATGATATGCTTCACGTCTGTCGGGGGTTTTGGACTATTTAACTTTTACCAGATTAATTAAACCCTCATAGGTACATTATGGAGAGATTGATAAGTTAGGAGATGAAGCATGCAGAAACTAGTGAGAGCATTGGCTTGCATATTGAGACTAATCTTAAGCATCTTTGTTAGAAAAGATGCTTAAAAGAGAAGGAAATCGATATAAACGTTCAAATATGATCAACTATCAAAAGTAAAATATTTAATGCTACTTGATAAATTTGCATAGTTTATTTTATTCTCAAACTTATTAACAATTATGTTAATTAATTCATGTTTAGTAATAATGCATACTACTTATTTTATTTTTAGGATGGTATTATAAAAGTGAAATTCAGGTATAGATAATATCTTCAATTGAATTTATTCAGTTCCCGTTTGCTCATAGGTCCTTAATTTTTTTCATTAATGGTCCTTAAAAGTACTTAATTTCCGTGTGCAGAAATGTGTACGAACCCTGATCCCTTTTGCTTTAAATTTTGTTTTCATTTAGAATTGTAGTGATGTCATTTCATATGATTGTATTATAATGTTTTTAAGTATAGTTTTGAAAGACATGGAACCACTCAAACAGAAACTGCATAAGCATTTTTCTTTTCTGACTTTTTTTTGGCTCTACTCTTATAAGTGCCATAAGATCACCAAATGTGGCGATATGTGTTCTGCGCTGGTTTTTGGTGCGATTGCATGTTGTATGGCAACCCTTTTGACGTTGAATACCGCAAAGCGGTATTGGTTTAATTGCTGGTTGGTTCGTGTTGTGCGTGTTTTGAAATGGTCTATGTTGGAATGAGAGACGTGGTTGCAAGAGGGTCCGGGAGATTATTTTTAGTGGCTGGGCATGATAGAAGTAAGGAAACGCTGATGCAGTGTATTAAAGAGTGGATTGAGCCTTGTACAACTATTTTTTTGGATGGCTGGAAATCTTAAAAGAATTTAGGGAAAGAAGGTTTTGAACATTTGTTTGTGAACCATAGTATGAATTTTCTGGATAGTGTGTCTGGCTGTCATATAAATATGACAGTAATTATGTGGCAGCATGAAATTGGTATGTCTGCTGTTCAAAAAAGCATTCATTCATGGTAAGTGCATTTTATTTTATTCTTGTTCTTATTTTGTAGAATGTTATTTTCATTTTTTTAAGTATGAATTTCTGTCATTATTATTTTTTTAACTTTAGTTATTTTAGTTTATTTTGTTGATTAGTGCATAGTGCCTAGATTGTGCAATTCGTAGATGTTTTTTAAAGTTGAAACAGAACGCTGTGTACATGGTATTCTTTGAAATTTATTGTTGTTTGTGTTAATTTATTAAAGCGAGGTGTGCGTAGTTAGTAGATTCTTTCGTTGCCTAGATTGTGCAATTTGTAGATGCTTTTTTAAGTTAAAACTTATCGCTGTATACATGGATTCTTGTCAAATATTTTTGGTTAGAAACTTTACGTTTTTGTTATCTAAATTTTTTGTTTTTGTTTCAGATTTTTAGCTTAAATTGTGTGTTCAAAACGTGGTTTTTGCATGTGCGAGAACTGCATTTTTGGAGACATTTTAGGCTTAAAGTTTGAAAAAATGTAGACAAAAAATTTAGATAGTAATATGGCAAAATGTTTGACGAGAAATTTGGCAACTTGAGGGAGCATATAAGAGTAATTCCTTTTTTTTTTATTCCTTTGCTCTTCTCCTGTTGTTATGAAACAATGTATTGAAGTTTACCATTGCTTTGTTTCAAGCAAACTTGCAGAATGCACATTGTGCTGAATTCAAATACTTTATGCAATCTAATTTCTAGATTCAGATTGATGACGAATGGGAAATACTACTAGAATGTCATAATCGTCGTCCAGGAAGGCCCAGAAAGGTCATTGAAGAAACGCCTAATGTAAGTGATATTTAACTGTGTTTCCCTTCGTTCATTTAAAACTTTTTAAAAAATGTTTGGAAGTTTATTAATCCTTCATAATTTAAATTGTCTTCTTAATTAAAATTAATTGTCTCATACAATGTTGCTATCGTGCTATGATTTTATGGAAAGAGCTGTTTTCAGTGTTAAGTGTATACAATGCTAGAAATGATGTCTCTAACATGTGAATCTTCTTGCAATTCAGAATAATGTAATGTCAGAATTAGGGAAATGTCTTAAATTTTGTAAGCTTTTATGTAAAGATTTCTTCTTACCTCATTTTCATAATACAGTGTGTTTATAAAGTCTCTGTACATTTTCGAGAAATATGCTCTAATTCTAATTTCTTTGGAGTTGATCTGAAAGAATGCCATCAGCAGAGGAAAGAATAGCCATTGTTTATGCCTATACACGTGGATTAACATATCAACAGGTGCAAGAGGACTTCGCCCACAAATTCAGAAACCAAGCCCCTACTAGAGCAGCTATTAAAGCCTTGGTAAACAAATTCAGGCAAAGTGGTAGTGTTAAAGATGAAGATTGTTCTGGGAGATCTTAGATAATGCCACAAGTTGAGCAAAGTGTAGAAGTGATTATACGTAGCCCTCGGGCATCTACACAAAAACTCAACCAAAAACTTGGTATTTAACATACTATTGTTTGGAAAACTCTACACTGTCATTTAATCAAGGTGCTTACCACATTAAAACTGTGCATAAACTTGAAGCTGAGGACTATGCAGCTCGGCAAGCCATGCGTTATGATTTGTTGGAAGCTGTGGATAATGAGAACTTAATAGAGAATGTTCTCTGTTAGTGACGAAGCCACATTCCATCTCAGCGGCCATGCTAGTAGGCATAATTACCGAATGATGGCTGATCAACAACCAAACGTGTCATGCAAATCTCAGTGAGACGCACGTAAAGTTAATGTATGAGTTAGAATAACTAAGCTCTGTGGACTTTTCATGTTTGCAGAAAAGACCATCACTTTAGAAATTTCTCTCGTTATGTTGCAACAATATCTTGAGCCACAGCTAGTATCAGGTGATATTATTGATACTGTTGTCTACCGACAGGATGGGATACCTCCCCATTATGCCATTATTGTGTGTAATTATCTTAATGAAACTTTTTCTGATAGATGGATTAGTCATGGCTCTCAACCGCTTTCGGCTCTACAATCACCAGAATTAACTCCCCTTTACTTTTTTGTACGGGGTTTTGTCAAGTCCAAAGTGTTCTGAGTGAAGACTGGCAGCATTGAACAATTAAAGCAGTGAATTATGGCTGCAGCAGCTGAAATAATGCCAATAACTTTATGTAATTGCTCCCAACTGTAGTGGAATAGTGGCAATTATGCCTAGACACACAGGAGGAAACACATTGAAATTGTACTAATTTAGTGTTCTATTATGTTTCATGTAACTGATAACTTATATTTCAGAATAAAGTCTGCTTAAGCGAAAATGTATAGAGACTTTATAAACACCCTGTTCTGTTTAACAAGTTTATGATGCCATGTATCTTCATTTGAAATAGATATGATGGGGTTAAATATATTAACTGAATTAGAAGTTCCTAATATCATTCTAATAAACATTGAAGAAAAATAAACTGAGAGTATTGGGGCTTCAAAAGAAAGAAAAATTTTATTTAAGTCATGTAATCTATTTTTCAAATTCAGTTTGAATTTACATATAATGCTTATCAGGAAATTTTGCAAGAGTGCTTGTTGTGGCCACTTTAAAAAGGAAATAATAAAATATCATGTATTGAACTGGAAAATTGGTAAATTTCTCTTTAACCCTCTCAGTGTTATAGACGTAAAATTCTGTATGAAAGAGTGGCTTTCGTATTCATTGCACATTAAAATTTCTGTCAGCTTTCAATGTATCCAATTTCTATTTGGATGTACAGTCAAATGTCTTTAATTCAGACGTCCATAATCCGGAATAATCTATAATCCGGACCAATACGTTTACACATGCGTGTTTAATGTATAACAGACGGTATAAGCTAAGCTAAAATTATCTAATTATCTATTTCAGTTAACGTTACAGATTGCGTTGTTCCTTAATCTTCTAACTGGATCCGGCTTATTATTTTTTGCAGACTGTTAGAGCAATTTTATAAAAAGTAAGTTTCAAATTTTGATTATGTCAAAAAGAGTTTCCAATTCTGGAGCTGCCAAAGGATCTACAAAGCGAAAGCATGTTTCAATGTCTATTAAACAAAAAGTGGAATTGCTGCAAAATATGGATAAAGGCATGAAGAAAGTGACAGAAAAGTGATTTGTTTCTCTAACCATTCTGAAATCTGTTTATCAATTTCATGCTGCTCTGCAGGGGGGGGGACGTCATGGCACGCTATGAACTGGAAGTTGATCTGTCAGCACTATCCTCATCTTCAGGGCAGATGTTTTTATTTTATTCGGCTTATAATTCCTCACTAAATGTAGTGTTTCATCTCGATGTACTCCGATACAATTTAAATCAATTTCCTCGTCATTATAAATATCAGAATACACATGAAATAGTTTTCTGGTTGCAATTTTCTAATTTCGACTATGTGTAATGTATGCTTTATGCATGCGCGCATTGAAAGAAATGTTTATTAAAGTAAACAAATAAATATTAAGCTTTTTTTTTGTAAATTTTGATACCCTTTAGATCATAACTGCTCTTTATTTCATAAATTACGGTTTCATAATTTTAATTTTAGAATTTCTGCATGCCATCTTACCAGATTTAAACTGATGATCTATAATCCGGAAAAACTGTTAATCCGGAATCACCGAAGTCCCGACGAGTCCGGATTAAAGACTTTTGACTGTATATTGGGGAAAAAAGGAATCAGCATACAAAATGAGAGTCATTTTTATAATTATAGTCAAGAAAATACTGTGCATGACATTTTGAGTATTTTTGAAATTTCAGGGCTAAATCCGTAATACTCATCTTAAAAGTATAGGGGAACTTCATTGTTTCTTTGGAATTTTTACACTTTTTCACATTCCTTCCTGACTTATTAAGCTTCAGTTTAATTTGAATTTTAAAATTTGTATATTTACTGTATTTACTTTTACTGCATTAGTTCACTTCAGTGATACTGATCCAGATAAATATCCTTTGTAGGCACTTATGTATTCAGTTTAATTTTAGTTTAAAATTCTGCTCAGGTTTAATGCATGGCTTGTATGAGTGATATGATTGTTAGCCACGAGTGGCTGTTAATCTGTAGATAAGTACTTGTTTTTACTCTTAAGGCTTATGTGGTTTAATTTTGTTTCGATAGTTTACTAAATGATATATTTTATTCTACATTCACTTTTAATACAGTTCAACTACCGATGACAGAGATCTTTGAAGTATGCAAGAAAATTTCATTCCCCATACAGAAAGGACTGTTTCTAAGATTTTCCCTTTTAAGACTGATGTACTTTCTTTATTATTTTTTCTTGGTATATTGTTTCTTTTGGAATTTTTAATTTTTACACTTTTTCACATTCCTTCCTGACTTATTAAGCTTCAGTTTTAATTTGAATTTTAAAATTTGTATATTTTACTGTATTTACTTTTTACTGCATTAGTTCACTTCAGTGATACTGATCCAGATAAATATCCTTTGTAGGCACTTATGTATTCAGTTTAATTTTAGTTTAAAATTCTGCTCAGGTTTAATGCATGGCTTGTATGAGTGATATGATTGTTAGCCACGAGTGGCTGTTAATCTGTAGATAAGTACTTGTTTTTACTCTTAAGGCTTATGTGGTTTAATTTTGTTTCGATAGTTTACTAAATGATATATTTTATTCTACATTCACTTTTAATACAGTTCAACTACCGATGACAGAGATCTTTGAAGTATGCAAGAAAATTTCATTCCCCATACAGAAAGGACTGTTTCTAAGATTTTCCCTTTTAAGACTGATGTACTTTCTTTATTATTTACTGCAAATATTCTTAATGCTGCCTCCCCCTTTTTTTTCTATTTTTCTGTTAACTTGTACATCATGTTTTCTTTAAAAAGCGAGAGACTACAGCAAGATTGTAAGAAAACATGTTAACTATGCTTTCTTGTAGACGTCTGCTTTCTGCTTTCTGCAAATGGACTTGGTATTCTTGTCTATGCCTTCATAGGGTTCAGCGTAATGTGACTGGACAGTAACTTCTGTTATTTTATTTAATTAAAGTATATCTATAACCATGTTCTGTACCTGGTACAGAATTCTTTTAATTTAAAACTTTCCTACCCCATTCTAATTTCTTTCTTATAAAAAAAAACATAATTTTATTCATAATATTTATATGTCTCATGATAAAACTGAACTCACTTATCAATCTTGTAAATGATCCTTATCATCCCTTTTCAATTCATAGTTAAGATGTCACACACATACATGCCAAATTGATTAAATTGTTGTTATGTCAGATGTATAGTGAGTGCCAAATTACTAATATAATCTAACTTTTAATTTTTTTTAAGGTTTCCTCACATCTGTCATATCCCAATTCTTTGAATAAGAGCTTTTATGGTATAAGTTTAAATGTTGGCTTCCAAAATTAATGATAATTTAATTGTGCCTCTAATATACTAAACAGAAATGCATTATCTGCTTCTCTCAAATCCTCATATCAGAAATATTATTGACTGGATTTTTGAACTTTTATATATTTTCAATTTTCTAACCATGCTAGGACTATATTCATAAAATAATTATTTTAAATTAATTCACAGAAATTTTAAATAATCATCTTTATTAATCCAGAAAGGTATTCTCATAGTAGCTAAGCATAAAGCTAAGCATAAAGTATTGGGCAGCTGGTAGCCTACTGGAACAAATTAAATTGTTCCTGAAGGGCATAGAAATGCTACAACTGATTTTAAGGAATTATTAGCTGTATCTAATATTTTTTAATATGGTGTGTATATATATATGTAATATTTTGGCAGGCAGGCACAGGAATGAAAGAGCTT